ATTATAATGTATACCTAAATTGTACATAAAGCAATGGTTTATCAGATTGTTATATAATTCCGAAGTACACACGACTGCTTATGAGACAATACATACCAAGAAAAACATGTTTACGTACCTATGGTTTCTAGTATCTTGTTAAAATGTTGGGAATTGAAATAAACCAATAAACGTACATACACATTTAAATTATTTAAAAAATTGCGTTAACGTACTCAGGGTGTGCCCTATACGGTAACGTTTCTCAGCTAGAATAGCAGTCCACATATAACAATTGCCAGGGATGAATGTGATTTGTACTCATCAACAGGGAATGTTTAATTATTATAGTAAACAGTTCAGATTAGTAACCTACATTTAAGTTGGGTGCTAATTAAACTAACAGTTTACGACACATACGATGTCTTTACATGTGTGTGTAATGAACGACAACCTTATTAACATTCGATGTTTACACTGATTGACCTAAGCTTCAGGCTGTAAAAGGTGTTTCTATCTGGCATTTCTAGCTGGCATTCAAAATCTGACGTAATGAAATGTACCTTTTACTAAGTGAAAACGTGCTGTTTATTACTAAAACCATGTAAAATGTTATCGTATACAAGAATCATACGCAAATACTATAATTTTTCACAGTAGGTTTAAAGAGAATTGCGTAAAACATCTGTAATGCCAACATGAAAAAAAAACCCCGCCTCAAAGCTCCCCACTAACCTACAGCTAGGAAAACCATTTACTTGGAGGAAGCGTCAGACAATAGAATTCAATTAAAACCAACCCTTTGACATTGAGTTTAGAGCCACATCAAAACCAATCATTGGATGTCCACTACCATTAACACCAAGTTGGATGGAAATAAGAGCAGTGTGGTGTTTGAGTTCATCAAAACTTGATCGTAACCACAACAACTAAGATTTTTTTTAAGACTGTTTAATAAGTATGACTTTTCAATGCAAGCGGGAAGCTGACATGTATTGCTGCCACTTGTATAATTATTGTAATGGTTTCAAAAACTGAAAATATTTTAAAATAAAATCCTGTTACTGGGCACAGTGTGTCTTTTAGGCGGGATACTACACAACATCCCCCCCCCCCCCACTTAGTAGCTAAAGCTTCCCTCCCCTTCAATGGAAAAAAGGAAAATAACATTCAATATACTTCAACACTCCACCGGAAGTTTCAGTCCCCCCCCCCCTCTCCCTTCCTCCATTCTCACCAGAGCAAAATGTCTGAATTAAACTCGCGTTTTGTAAGAAATAAACGCGACCACCTAGTAAAAACAATTTGAGCTAAAGGTCAAGTCAGGCAGATGTATCTGCACATATGAGGGTAAGATATGGATATAATAGTCTAAACAGTCAGATGTTGGTTGGTTATCCTAACTTGCATTCGTCTATAAAAGAAGTCTCACTTTTTTAAAAGGGATAAATCACTTTACAGGATTTATAGGATTTATATGGTAATTAAATCATTTAACACCAACTAAACGCAAAATTATTCCATCTTTACAATAACATGCCCGATGTTACACTTATTTACTATGACTGCTAGCTTTTCTCTTTGGTTATTTAGTTTTTATTCGCCTTCACAAAAGTAAAAATAGAATGTTTAACATTGTGTTTATCAGATAGAACCGTCGGTCGAAAGCTTGAAACTAAAATGTTTGGTTTTCTCCACAGTGACGATGTTGTCTGACGACCAGTTGACGTACTACCAGGACGCGAGTGACGGCGATGATCCAACATTACGTAGCCTGCAACTACTGCTGTCCACGGCAGCGTCGAGTCAGATCGGCGGCGGCAGGAATAGCGCTGCTCACGACGGGCTTGCTTCCTCTGGTTACGGGGCTGCCACCGGCCAACTAATTGCAAATGGTTCCGGCCTCGCTCGAGCATTTGAAGACTACCCTTATACATTGGACGACGGGGGTGGTTACAAGCTAGACTCTTATAACAACAGTTTTGCTATAGATTTTTATGCACAATTGGTAAACAGGCGAGAATTTAAGATGTTGGAGGAACTATTCCGTTATGCGAGCCCTGCGATTATAATTATAGGTAATATCACTAACTTAATAGCTCTTATTGTACTTAGAAGAAAAAAACTTCGACGTGCTTCAGTATGTTTTTATTTGTGCGCATATGCTCTTGCTAATCTGTGTGTTCTCAACTTCATGCTTGGTGTCATATGGATGTGTGAAATTTTCAAACTCAGCTATGTCACGTACTTAGCGGACTGGACTTGCCGACTGTGGACATTTATCAACAATGTGTTTACTTATTGTGGTGTGTGGTTTGTCGTGGCCATGAACATCGATCGTTTGGTCTACTTAACTTCAAGATCTAATTCACAAAATCCATGCACTGTGTTTTCTGCCAAGGCTGCTGTTTTAGCCATCATGGTAGGACTGACAGTTGTCAGTATCCATGCCATGTGGACATACGAGCTACAGAAACAAGGATGTTTCGTGGCACTGGAGCCACATGATCTTCATAAAATGATATGGCCGTGGTTGTCGGCGACTGCTTATACATTTCTGCCCCTGTTTTTGTTGCTGTGTCTCAACATAGCCCAGGGTGTTGCTATTTGCCTGAAGCACGGAAGGAAGGTTGTTATTAGCCACCCAGCCGACGGCTGCCAGGACAGCTTCATAGTGACGGTAATGGTTGTTTCTCTCACTGCTTTCTTTCTCAATGCGCCTGCTACTGTGACCAATGTACTTGATATTCATGTGCCTACCAGTTGGATAAGCGTAGACTTTGTGGCGCAGATTGAATTGACAAAAAAAATTACAGAACTTCTTTCAAGCCTTAATCACGCCATATTGGGAATTCAGCTTCTCATTTGCTCCAAAGAATTTCGAAGGGAATTTGCTGCCCTTTTAAGAGTAATTTTCTGTTGTTTCTCGTCAAAACGAACATTTAAAGTTTTTGAAATGAGGCCAACTTTTAACTCAGAGGAAAGCAGTTCGCCGCACAGACAAGTGGACTACGAGCTGTGTAACAACAACGAAGAAACCGTAACGTCGGTTTAGATAAAGTTGGTGTACAACACTAGATCATGCATACATTTACGTGCTCACGTTTTCAGCAGGATTAGTCAACGTGAGAAGACAGGTTCTGCTAATGAGGTCACCAAATACTAATTTGACAATATTTGTTTAATAGTACTGTATTTCTCGGATTGTTGAATATCATCGCTACGAGAGGCTACAACATGTTTTAATGCAAAATCGGATTTGTTTTTGACATAGCAGTAAATAATAAAAATGTTTCCTTATGGTGAGTCATTTAGCCTGAATTGATTGGTGCACGATCAACTGGGCTGTTTTCTTATGGCACATTATTTAAATATTCATGGTGAGTCTGTGTAGATAAGCATTGACTATTTCAGTTAACAAAAAATACACTGCTGTTTTCTTACAAAATAACTTTAATTTATTTGTTCAAATTATCAATACAAACCTTTTTAAGCATGTGTATATATTGTGATTTAGTTTAAATGTGTTGTTTTTTTTTAAACTTTTCCAAATTATTTGCTCTTTCAAATTTACTTTTGTATTATAGCACTAAAAAGTAAATATACTTTAATTTGCTATGTACTACACAGACTGTTATACTGGCTGTGTTTAGTGTGTGCACTGTTGTAAATAACTTTCAACATTCTATGACACTAGTGAGTAGACTGGTGCATTGTTTTCCAGCCTTTATTTATTGTATCACGTGTATTCAATATCTATCTCAAATCATGTGCACAATCATTACTGTTTTATCCAATATTCATGCTCAATTGTAAGGGTGGGTGTTTTGTTTTATAGGGGATTACGTTTTGAAACATTTGATTAGATCATGTATACTTGATAGATAGCATCCATTCATAATGCGGGGGAGAGAGGCACATCCACCCACACTGTGATTATTATGAATACGCTGACGCACTAAGTTGGATTAATGACTGCGGGGGGAACAAAATATTTAAAATATAGAAAGTTAAGAAAGAAGTGAGATGTTCTTAAAACAAAGATATAATAGAATTTAGACTGTGTTTTGTTTAGGAATGACGTCGCGTTTAGGAAGCATTTATTTAGCTCAGCTATTTAATCATTTTCCTTTAGAACCCACTAACATTTGTAAATGTGAAATTTGAGATGTCTGTATTTTTTTTCTTTTTTGGTTACGCTTTTGTCGTGATCACAGAAACAAATAATCTATTTATAATTTTTTTTATTAAACACTGAAACTATAGAGTTTGATATCATTTTTGAACACGATAACTTTTATGGTGAAAATGAATGGATGATGGTAATGATGCATATAACATCAACCAATATCTGCAGAAAAGCTCTAGTTACAAACCCAGGCATTGCTAGTTAATCAATTCTGGCACGCTCTATAATAATGTAATATATAGTTTGGCTAGGGAAGGGGGAGATTTGATGTAACATGAATTAAAAATGTGTTGGAAAACATGTTCAAAGTATTGCTATATATAATGGGTAGGTCTGGTTAAAAGTGTTACAATTGGTGATGGGAATAGATATTACAATCGCCTGTAATGATGTGACATCATTTATAGACATTTTACTGATACACTCCCTATTTTGTATTTTCGGAAAGGATACCACATGTGCGCGATCTCGATTTACTTCCTTTAAATTCTATAAGATTACTCCGTTTCTTAACACAATGACCTAAATAAACTAATAAACACGTGCATAAAACCCACTTTTATTTATGTGCTAACAGGGGAAAAATAGTTTTCAAATATAAAAATGTACTACTATCTATATAACTATAAAGAAATGCGTTAGTCTCTATTTTAAATTAAATACCTTACCCCAAATACACATTGCACTGTCATCGTTTTGGTCTACGTGTCTTTGGTTTTTTACTTTCTCGTATATACGTAGTATAGAGAAAGTATTGTAATCGTGCAAAAAAAAAATCGAGATTTTTACAAATCTCGACGTTTTACACCTCACTGATACGGAAAAACATAATTTTGCAATCTTGTCCGTATGTCTGTGTGTGTGTGTGTGTGTGTGTGTGTGTGTGTCTGTCTGTGTGTCCGTGTGTAAACACGATAACTTGAGTACCGTTACAGCTAGGTTGATGAAATTTCATATATAAGTATTTTATCAAAATCGTAGATCCGTATCAACTTTTGAGCGATTTCCGATAACCGGAAGTGGTACTTTTTCTACTTTGAATTTTTCAAAAGCCTATAACTTGAGTACTATTTCAGATAGATAAATGAAATTTCACATGTAAGTAAAAGATCTAATTCTCTACCTTCTGTTAAATTTTGAGTAATTTCCGTTGACCGGAAGTAGTAATTTACGCTACTTCCGATTTCTCAAAAAACTAATGTAAATTTTAAAAGTACTAATAATATTGCGCACTATTATGCGCTTTTTTATTTCGCGTTCACTTGGTGTGCAATTAATTTGTCTACGAGATTTTATTCTATTTTTAAAACTTTAAGTATTTAAAATGGATTAAAAATCATGTCTATAGCCCGAGTTCCCCTGTTATTTTATATAAGAATATTCGAGAAAGTTTAGGGGAGTCACTCCCGGTTTTTTTAACTTTGTGTTTGTTAATTTAGCTAGTTGTGCCCGGTTACTGTTAACTCACGCTGCTATCAAGCTGTGCTTCTAGTGGTTCTAGCAACTGTTTGTTAGTAGCACTTCTATCTGAGGGGTGTCGATTCAAGGCGATCACCACGGAAATCAAATATAGACTAGTACTATTCCCTTTTAAAATCAAATTATGGATATGTATTTGTCTTTACAATCTCAGAATATTAAAAAGTATATATATATATATATATATATATATATATATATATATATATATATATATATATATATATATATATATATATATATATATATATCTGTATTTACATTTCTTACATTTCTGCACTAGTTGCTCATAATATTGCCAATATGAAGTGGAGACAAACCAATAGTTACATCTCGTGCCCAAAAAACTGAGATCAACGCAATTAACATTAATTGAGCCAGACAAGTTAATTTTGATAAAAGAGGCTAGTCACATAGTGTTTAAGGAGTGAGTTGATAGAGAATGGTAAAGTAGAGCTACACTGTTCAATTTGGCTGAAATACCAACCATCGTATGAGAAGTTATTTATTACCAGTAATTTTGAAATGACAGTTGAAATATCAAGCTTTCATTGCCGTAACATGTTACTTAACGTTTATTTCAAACATCAAAATCATGGTCTGCTCGTGTAGGCTGTAAGCGGGTGATACTGTTTGTTAAAGGTTTAACACCCCACTTCCTTAACAGTATTTGAAACATTTCTTTCGATCTTACAAAAAATTTCAGCTATCTTCTTTATAAGAGTTCTCAAATGTACCAGACTGTATTCAGCTGTGCTGTAGAACTGTACGTTTTCCTCCCCTCCGTTGAGGCCTGAACATAACATATTCATATTCCAGCGAGACAGATATTTTCCTTTTGTGTTACCTTAGTTTAGTGTTACAAGATTAATATTTGTACAAGGTTTTATCTGTATGTCTCTTTCTCAGCGTACATGTACATGTCTGTGTCCTTGCCGATGCCTATGTCTATGCCTATGTTTATGTCTGTCTGTCTGTCTGTCTGTCTGTCTGTGTTTGTCTATGCCTATATATATATATATATATATATATATATATATATATATATATATATATATATATATATATATAAGTTTTGCAATATATTTAAATATATAATGACTAAATATCGTCTTTAAAATAGTTAGTAGTGCTAACTGTTCAGTATAATGTTTATAAAATGCCAGTGTATTCCAAGGGTATGCATGTCATAAACTTAAATGTGACCACAGGAAGCTGGATGGCTGACATGTTATTTCAACCGTGTTTTACAGCAGAAAAAAATTAGCCATCGATTTTTTTTTTCTTCTGAAAGTATCTACCTGGACAGGTTTTATCGATTTTAAAATTAAAATGGCCGGTGAGTCCTTTTTTTAAAACTCGGTCTTTTTTCCATTGCACTTTAAGCATTTCGCAAATGTTCGATCAAACATAAAAAGCAACATTTTGAAATATATATTTGAGAACGTAAATGACATTATTTTTTCTATAGATATCAGAAATGTGATTTTCGTTTCAGTGAGATAGTTAAAGAAAGAAATTAAAGACGTCTACACGAAACGAGGAAGTTTGAAGTTTACAAAAAGTAAACAATAAAGCAACGTAATTAAGATAGTGGGTGGGTGGATGGAATCTTCACAAGTTCTCACTTTTTAATTATTATTAATTCGCGGCTAATAAGGGGTAATACGGGAGGTAGTGGGGAGAAGTACAAAAGGAGATGTTTTTAAACGAAAATGATTTTTTTTAAGTTGTCAGGTCGTATGGAATTGCGTCAAGATCGTTATTTTAATATGCAAGGCACTCTTAAACAAACAATATATAGAGTTAAAATTGCGGTTTTAGTGCTCTATCAAATTTTATTGATATTACAAGTTAAAAAATTAAGTATATGTAACGTTAAGCACAGCTTGAAACGTCTGAGAGCAAAAATATTAGGATTAGATGAATAATTAAAACTATGGAAAATTGTCAAGCATTGAATGTGTTTTCTGTGTTATGGCATGCAATCGGAAAATCTAAACAACAAAAAAGCAATGATGTAAACTAATGGACTTTATGAAAATATGGCAAAACACTTTTTATGGTATTCGCAGGTATCATTTTCTGAACATTCTGAATTGCATATCACTTTACAAGCTTTTTCGGTGACAGTGAATGTCTGTCTTGCTGTGCACTTGAAACTCATTTTTGGCCAATTTATTGTACTTTACAAATAAGTTCATACCCGATGACAGAGCAAGGATATCTAACTTTTAAAGTGACTAAACAACTTTATCATTTAAAATAATTAAAAGGCTACTATAAACATAAAATTTAAAAGTAAAACAAATATAAAAACCTTTAGAATAGCAAGCTTTTAAATGCACTGAAAATAAGAAAATAAATCTAATTTGCTCATGAGATCTCTTACATATTTTAACGTTATCTCACCTTTAATAATTGAATATTGTTAAAACCCAACCAGTAGATTGCAATCTCTAAAAGACAGTTGTCTGCCCCTTCTACCTGGTCACCACTCGGGCAGCCAACCGTGGCCAAACAAGGAGTACGCTTATATAGGGAAAACAAAGAGTCGTATTGCTGGAGAAAATATTATACAAGTTTGTTTTTAAACTTTAATATCGACGGTATATTAAATTTTATTGTTTACAAATTTTACGTACTGAATAGGATAAAAAAACGTGTATAACATAATAGGGTTTTAAACAATAAGTCGCACTAACAATAAGAAAATAAAGCAAACTTTAAGCACCTTTTAGCGATCGATCAACACTTTTAATACTACGTGTAAAGAAAGAATATTTTATTTTAATTTAATTTCAGTGCATTCGAAAATG